GTGGCCCCCGAGGTCCCTCTGAGCCATGATGAGGCATACCTCATGCCCCCACACAGGCTGCTCACAGCCACGTTTGAAGGAGCAGCTCCTGTATGGACGGCAAAGATCATAGCAAAGTAAATGCGAGATCAGCGAGGCTGAGACACACAGTGGGGATGAGGAAGGTGAGCCTCAAGGTAGGTGCTGTCTGTGCCCCACCTCTGGGTGCACCCCAAACTTATGTGAACCTCTTAGGTAGAAGAAGACTGAAGACTGTATTAACTTTAAACTTAGGAGGACACATTTTCTAGGGGGACAAAAAAAAAAAGAGCTCTAGGTTTTAATCTGATACTTGAAGGGGTATGGACCATGAAAACCGTCACTACCACCATCCCCCATGCCTCCCGGGGGGGGGGGTGTGTGTGTGTGTGTGTCACGATCTGCTCCTCTCTCAGGTTCAGTGCACAGGTGAGGAACAGATTTTCCTGTAGGAGCTACAGCTAGTGTTCAACCCACAGCAGACAGGTCGGAAGGGGCGAAGCTGAGGGGCAGTGTGTTTTAGGATTAAAGGGGTCTTCCATGGAAGCTTCAGGACCGAGAAGGAGGACCACAGGTGAAACTTAAGGACTTGGTGTGGGACAGAGGTGGCCTGGAAAGGGAGAAGTGGGAGCCATTTCTCCAGACAATTTGGTAGAAAGGCACCCTGCCCCCAATCCAGTCCTGAATCCTATCTAGGCTGGGTGGAAGGTCTCTGGGTGAACCATCTCATTCCTGGGTCCTGCTCTCACCAGACCCAGGGCTGTTAGCAAACTACCATGTCACTTTCACTTTTGAGTCTTACCCACCACTGTGCACTGGTCTCATGAGATGACAAACACCTTTTCCTGGGAGAAAGGGTAAGGGAAGTTCTCATGGAGTTCAGGTTGGCCTCCAACTTGCTATGTAGCTGAGGCTGGCTTTGAACTCCCAATCTTCCTGCCTTCACCTCCCAAGTGTTGGTGTTATGATTCTGTGCCACCACAAACAGCTAAGATGCCTTTTAAAAAACAAACAAACCTGAAATATGTGTGGTAAGCATGCATGTTTGTGTGTGTGTGTGTGTGTGTGTGTGTGTGTGTGTGTGTGTGTATGTGTGTACTGTGCACATGTGTGTAAAGGCCTGAAGTTACCACTCAATGTCTTCTCCATTCACCCTTTATTTATCGAGGTAAGGTCTCTTGCTGAACCTGGAACTCCCCAATTCTGGCTAGTCTAGCTAGCCTGGTTGCCCTTAGCATACCTTCTCTCTGCCTCCTGAGTGCTGGAATTACAAGTGGCTACCATGCCTGCCTGGCTTCTATGTGCATGCTGGGGATTCCAACTCTGTCCTCACACTTGCATGGCAAGTATTTTATCCACTGAGCCATCTCTCCAGACCCCTAGGATTCCTTTCTTACAGGGATCACTGACATACTTAGTGACCCCAGGAGACTCTCCATAAACCTAAGCCTTAGCTGAGCACATGTTATAGGAAGGAGTCCACTGGGCTCCCACAAACCAATCCTAAGGGGGAAAGGAGACCAGCCACACACTTTCCACATAGCTCATATTCTTACATGGTCTCCCTTGACCTTTTTAATTCCTATAAAATATTTCTCCCCAGTTTAATGAATGATTCATTTCCCTCACTTTAAACATACAGGGAAGGCTCCATTTCTCTGGACACAGAAGCCCCAGAACCGCACGAGACAGACTTAGGTGGACTCTTGTGAAGCATATATGTTTGGAATCAGGGGAAAGACAGCAAACTAAGAGCGGACAATTTCAGATACTAGTAAATGCTACAAAGAGAATAAAACAGGGCGATCTAACCATGGTGTGTGTGGGGGGGATAAGAAATTAGTGGGAGGACACTATGAGAACGGCTGAGAAACACAGACTGCAAATGAATAGCCAGTACAAAGGCCCTAAGGCATGAAGAAGCTTGACATGTTCAAGGGACAGAGAGGAAGTCAGTGTGGCTCCAAGGGAGGGACACAGAGACAAGATAAGAGAGTAAGCCAGAGAGGCTCTGTCAGGAAGTCCAGGTAATGGTGTGGACTGGGAATGTTGTTGAATATTGTATTTATTCATAATGTGTATGGACGTTTTGTCTGCATGTATACCTACGCACCATGTGCACACAGTGCCCACAGAGACCAGAAGAGAGGGCGTTGGATAGCCTAGGACTGGAGCTACAGTTGTTGTGAGCAGTCATGTGGGTGTGGGAATTGAACCTGCGTCTTCCCAAAGAGCCACAAGTGCTCTTCATCACTGAACCATGTCCCCAGTCCTCTGGGAATTTTATTTGAAGAGCAGCAGGTCTTGAAGGAAGAAAGTGACACAATGGAATTATGGGTATGGGGGAAAGAATGAACCAGAGCATCTGGGCCGAGAGAAGGTAAAAAGCCAGCTCAGGAGATGCCATCATTACCAACTTGCATACAAAACCGAGACTTATTTCTACAGTGTTAAATTTCCCACATTATTGTATGTGCGGCACCAGACTCTTCCATCCGATGAGGTGGGGCTCCCTCCCACTGTTCCCGAGACGGCAGCTGTGCCCTCTGCGGCCACCAGGAGAGGGTAGCTGGTAGCGGCTCCACAAAAACAATTGCACAGCCTGTATGCAAACATGCTTTGTGTCCGTCTGGCAACATTCAACCAAGGGTGAGTGTCCAGTGGGTGCCAGGCACTTGGAAAGGTGTTCTACAGTATTAAGAACACATTATTAGAGTTGATGGGTAAGTAAAAAACAGAATCACCCTTCTGGGAAAGATAAGGGGCCAGCCCTTGTTCCTCAAAGACAGAAGACCAGCCGAGGTACCAGTCCCTTTACCACGAACTGTTCACTCAAAACTTGCATCAAGCCAAACGCTCTTAAACATCTTTGAAGAGGGAGAAGAAATGCAGCAAGAATACAGTCAGCAGGATTTGGAGGAAGTGGGACATTGTAAGTAATGAGATTTGACCCTAAGGTCAGCTTCGAGCCTGGAATGTCTCAGGCAACTGAACTCGGAGTTACATTGTTTCCACAAAGCTTTCTCTTCCTATCCGGCCCTAAACTATGTGCAGAAATGGTAACCACTTGAGGCATGTTCAATCAGGAAGGCAAGTTCCCCAGTGGCCCTCGCTACCTGCATTCATTCAGCCAACACGCCTAGAAAAGGACTAAGAACCTACTGTTCCACGCACAATCCCTACCTCCTCTGACTCTGCTTTCTGGCCTTGACTTCTGACCTCCAAACTCGGAATGCTTAGTTAAAGGTGTGCAGTACCATGACTTGCTTTTGAAAAGAATTATGAGTGCTCAATTTTGTCTCCACATCCCCAGACTGGAACATTCTATTCTGGAAAGAGCAAAGTAACATGGGAAAGCTATGAGAGAGAGAGAGAGAGAGAGAGAGAGAGAGAGAGAGAGAGAGAGAGAGAGAGAGAGATCAACGTAGAGGAAAAGAGAAAAAATAAAGTATTTCTGTGACTGGAAGACACTGACTATCTGATAAGTCGTCCCCCCTCCCCCAAGAATCTGGGGACTCTTTCAACAGGACTGCCACAGAAGCTCAGTACACATGTGCTGGAATGGGGACTCGATTCCGCAGGGAGCCACATGCCCCAGTAAGACAACTTCTGTTCTACACTGGGTTGACAAACCAGTTGAGAACACCTCTCCCCTAAATTCATGTCCACCTGGGACCTGAGAATGTGAACTGACTTGAAAGTCATATCCTGTCAGAGGTACCGGTTGAAGGACAGTTGTGTCCTACCGGGTTAGGGTGGGCTCCTATGAGACAACGGACACAGACCCTCAGGCAGACCTTATGAGATGACACCGAGGCAGAGACTGTGAGGAAGCCAAGAGCACTCAGAACGCTGAGGCAACAGGGTCAGGAATTTGAGAACGGCTTGGACCATACAGTAAGTAGACAGCTAGTCTGAGCTGCACGCCAAGACCCTGTCTCCAAAACAAGTTGGAAAGGTCATCTCCGGACCCTTCCAACATCAGAGAATACATTGTTGCTGCGGGATGTCCTCCAGCTTCCAGTACTTTGTTACAGTAGCTCCACTTCCATAGGCACACCAAGTGTCCAAACGACTCTTCCCAGCCTTGGTACAAGTAGGAAGAAACACAGAGAAGCCTCCAGTCCACTGGGCTTTTTCAGCCTCCCAGTGGCCACCAGCAGCCTGGGGAGGGGAGAGGAGCCAGGATCATGTTTCAGGCATCCCCACCTTCTACCACAGAAAGCCAACCGGCAGGGGAATTTCTGTTCTCTCCCTTGGCTTTCTAGCTTGCAACCTCTTCCAGTTAAGTGTTTCTTTTCTTTCTCTTGTTTTGTGACAAGGTGTCACTATGTAGCCCCCAGTCCTTCCTGGAATTCACCATGACCCCACTGGCCTTGAACTTGTGGGATCCTCCCGTTTCCTCCAGGCCTGGCTTTTAAATTCCAATCAGTTCCTACCTTAACAATGCATTCTCATCAACTACCTAATATTTCTAACTTTACTACTTTTATATAAATTTATTTAGGCATCTGCTTTACCACTGAGCTAGGCACCAGGCTAATAATTTTATCTTAAAAGCCATTGCTACATCATTATTACAATAAAGGGAAGAATCAGCATCATGTATGGCATGCAGACCTGGTGTATTATGTGTCTTTGAACTACACACTGAAATGAGTACACAGTATTTTTTTTTAAAGTCCATTCTTGTACCATTTAAAGTAATCTCCGGAGGTAAATTCAATGGGAAAAGATAACTACTCTCCATTTAGTTGCCTGGAACTCTGCTCTCCTGAAAAACCGACTTCAAGTTCTTGGATCTCCAGGTCCTCTCCCTGGAGGAAGATCACACTCCTCCATGAAGGTAAAAGGGCCGGCGCACAAATAAGCACCAAGAGTTCCGAGTTCCCACGCGGGACATCCTGAAAACACGTACACGAGAGCGAAAGTAATTCTAAATACCCAGTCCGTGCGAGTGACAAGGGCTGGGAGGGACTGACCTTTTCGCGTAGGGTGCAGTGGACGTCCGAGGCGACGCGCCCTTCCCACCACGGCTCATCCATCACCGCCGCAGATCCGAGGCTACGGGGACCTCTGGGTGCACCCTACGAGGACACAGGGAGCTTCAGCGGCCGGAGACACTTTCCCCACCCCGCCTTCGGTCACCCTTATCCTAGCCCGTCCCTGTCCCCGTCCTGGACGGGCGCCCCCTCCTGCCCCGCTCTGCGGAGCCGGTGGTCGCCTGCTGTCCTGAAAAGAGAGCAGTGTACCCTCCCCTCTCTCCGCCCGCCCAACCTGGGGCGATCTAGAACTGTGTGCAACAACTTGCAGAATTTCCAATGTCCCCTTCTGCAAAAGTTGCAAAGTTGCTGGCCGCAGTAGCTCGCCCGGGGCTGACTGGGTCACCAGCTCTGAGTCCCCAACTCCTCCCCCGCCGCCCAGCCTTTGTCCTGCTCGCACATCCTGCCCTCGAGCCGGGGCGAGACTCACGCATTGCTGTCCCCGCGTGGGGGATCGCGGGTGGCGGGTCCCTCCCCGCACCGGGAGCGCTGTGCCCTCCGGCGGCCGTCCGGCCCTTGACCTCGCGTGCTCGCGACCGGCGCCTCCGCAGCCCGT